CATATATTTTATCACACCGACGACAGACGAGCATGTAATTCTACACTCCTCTCTATCACCCGCCGATGCCAGATTCCCGCCGTCACATTCGAAATCCCTCCGAAATCCCGGAATTTTCCGGCACGATCAGGCAACAGCGCTATCAGAGCGACCACGTTGCATATTAATGCGCAAAACAAACCAGTTAATTTAGCTGGTGTTGGTCTGCGTGTGTGTTGGTGCGATCACTCAAAAAGGTAAAAACAAAACAAATAGAATAGAAAAAGTTCATTAATATTCACTCCTGATGAATGGGAGCTGTGGGTCTATTACTCCCCCGGGAGCGCTGGAGCTCAATCGAAAGTGAAGCTCCGAAAGTGGCTTTGTAATTTGTGCTCGGGAAGCTATAAATAAAGCGTATATGTCGACGCCTTGAAATATAACTTACGCGCTAATATCCGATACACAACTTGAGTCCTGATTTTAACTCATCCCCGGGAATGCAGTTTTCCCGGCGTTGCCGTCGTCAGGAACAACAATAATTGGCTCATTTTAGAAACAACATCGGTGCTATTAGTTTCCCTCAGCAGTTAGGTGGTTTTACGTATGGACCAGAAATTGCAGTTCCTGATTGCAAAATGCAGATCAATTAAGAGTGGAAATACAAACCTTGGTAGGTTCCATCACGAAATGCTAAGATAGCTTCATTGGAAAAGAACCTAACTGCATTCGCTTCATGAAAGTTTATATTTTGCCGTTTTGGTGTCATCTTTAGGCAAATTTCCACCAGCTGATTCGGTCGACTTTTTCAACCAGGTCAGCAGGGTTGCAAACCAAAGGAGAGAATCACGCCGCTGAAGTCAAAGACTAAACTCTGGAAAAAAAGTCTCTTGGATCCAGAGTTCGGACTCTTGACTGAGTTGACAAGATAAAATACTCTTGATTCAATCGGATTTTTGCTTGAATCAAAACGAAACCCGCTTAAATTAAGAGGCTTTGCTCTCGATTCAAGCGAAAGCTCGATTAAATCAGAGTATTATTTTTTGTCAAATTCTTCAAGAGTCTGGACTCTGGAACCAAGAGCCTTTTTTTCTCCCAATGAACTCGGTTCCTTGATGAATTTTGGCCAACGTTTGCATCCAACCACTTTGGATGATGTGAATTTTGGATGTGGTCATCGCATTTTTGAACTTAAAAAAAAAATAGAGCCCCAGAAAGTAATAGTTTCCCCTTGTGTTTGAGACCCTATGTGTTTCTATTTAGCTCATGATGTTCGGTTTATTTCATATCATTAGCATATCATCAAGTCATCGACACACGCCCTCCATATCATCATGCCATCATTGGCACGACTATGGCTCATTGCTTAGGACCATTGGCTCATAATCATGCGATAGCGTATTGTGCAAACGATTTATTTAAATCCTCTTGGTCCGATCCCAAAAGATAGCTCTCTGACACCTTCTATCAAGTGAAGATATTGAAGGCAGTTCCCTTTGAATGTAACACGATAGTGATATTTAAAGCGAGGCGCCTTATAAGTTTTTCAATAAATTATGAGTATAATGCATACTTCAATTACCAGAAATTTGAAATTCGTCCTGGTGCTTAAGGAAACTTGTGCTTCAGATCTCAACCCCTCGACGGCCGTGCTACGGGATAACGCCGTATGTGCCATCAGACGTTGTCAAATTTCCGTCCATAAAATATACATTTTCAGGAAAATTTGTAAATGTTTTTCTTCGAATTTTTTGGCGAATTTTATTTGTAATTAGAAGTAAATTACCTGAAAATTTCAAAAGAAAATAGTCGTACACTCCTTAAAATCAAAATACAATCAGAGGAAAGTTGGCAACTTTTGGGTGTATTTACGACGTTTTCCTCAGAACGGCAGTAAGGAACCTTGCTGCGAGGGACTGCAAATTCTTCAGATTTTTTTGAGATTTTTTAGGACCACGAATCGTGGAAGGAATGACTAATGTAACGAAAAGAATTTTAACTAATTTAAATAATTCGTTATTCAATGCTGCATTAATTGATTCAGTCGAATTAATCCAAATTAATTTTAAACCAAGCTGGCAACGATGGAGATGAATATCGATGCTCCCGTAATAAAGCGCGTTACATAAAAGCCATTTAGCGCATCGTTCACGGGGTGGCGTTTCGCCGCGTTGCCACACGGAAGTATTTCCCCGATAAGACCGAGTCCAACCCGAGAAGAAAAATCGAATTCTGCGTCGATTTGACAATACCGATCGGGTGTCACTCTGTATTCACTCGGTCTGGCCTACGCCGAGTCGGCTGAAACGGGGTAAAATAAACCGTAAAAGTTAATGTCTGAATTAGCGACTGGAAGGACACTGGTTTTATGATTGCACCAGTGGCGAGTAAGGAAAAACACCTTATAAACATTCGCACATTTCCAAAGTTCTTTGGGTAAAATGCAAAATTCCAGGAAAACTTAAAGGTAGTTTACCTTGAAATTTTCGGAAAATTTTATTGGCGGGTTCACCTAGCCGATCTGAAAATTTTACGGAAACATATTCAAAACTTTTCTCAAAATTAAATATTATCTTGCGGGGAATTCGGCGACAGTGCAATGTTTATACGTTGTTATTTCTTACCACAGCAGCACAGGTTGAGGTATCGATAAGCGACGCTATTCTGTGATTTAAGGGGCTGCAAAAGTACGCAAATCAGACTTGAGCCCGGGTACCGGCGGTACCCGCACCTCGGCCGATATTTTGCAATAAATTTGAGGCTCTTTATCTTTCTTATTTTATTATTGAGTGTCTGAGGGCTTATCGTTTGATCCTCGGACACCTACTTGCAGGATTTTTATTTATAATAAAAATCATGTTTTCCAAGTATATTTCTTCTTCTTCTTCTCGATTGGGCAATTATTGGTAGAAGTAGTGATGCCACTTCATTGCACGTCTAAGGAAGTATTACATAGACTGTCACGCGAGACTTTATTTTGTGTAAAACGGAATATTTGTGAAAATTTCCTAAAGCTCCCGAAAAACTTCAGGATTTATGCTGAACTGAGAGAAATTGTTATTTGAATCACAGAGAGCTTTTGTTAAATAGTAAAAAATGTAAATATTAGTAGTAAATAGTAAGACATGACTGAAAATAGTTTTCGGGCAAAAGTTCTTGTTCAAAACCTCAAACCCATTCTAGAAAGCAAATTAAGGTGAATTAACAAATTTGCCCTGAAATTTTCGTCATTTCCGTCATTTTCCCTGACATTTCCCGGTTTTCCCTGACTTTTTAAAAGTCCCAGTTTTCCCTGACTGTGGCAACCCTGTGAAAAGCTGATGGAAAAAAATTCGGAAAATAAGGTACCGCAGATCTCGCGTTAGGAATTTTAATCTCTCGTGCGCATACGATAGACACACTTCCAAATAATCTACCTTCAGAGAAGAAGCGATCATATGCACTTTGCCGGGCGCCAACAGATTAAAGCGCTGACATAAAACACGGTGACCGGAAACAGAAACAAAAAAAAAGGAAGTACAAATTCTACTCAAGCACGACATTGATGCCACTTAGAAGATAAGTCAAGAACTTTGCGAGAAGTAGATATCAATTTTAGGATATCAATTTTTCGAAGCTCTGTGATAAATTTCACTACGTGCGAAAAAGCTGAGAAATTCGTGCATTTTTCATTGGGAAACTTAACGGTTGAGAATATCATATTTAAGTACTAAGGTGTGATTTTATACTTAAATATAAAACTTCTCTACTTATCATATGTTTAAAAAAGTGTGTGCAACAAAAAAAAAAAAAAGGACCGATTGAAGTGAGTTCCTAGTCTGCCGTCCATAGCAAAAACACCGTATCTCCAACACAGATTTTTTTTCAATTTTCTCCAGCTGAAAAATGCTTTATTGCAGAAAAACTGACGAGTGATCGTCCTGCAGAATTCTTGAATACCTTGGTAGGCATATTACCGAGACCTCAAGCTAAGAAAATGGAGTAAAATGGATACCGGTCTTTTTTCCGTAAGAGAACAGAATGTGTGATAGGAAAATGCAAAATCTTGAATGGACTTTCGGCGCTTGTACTGTGGACGGCAGTAGTCTGGTTCGACCGAGGTTAGCTGGTCCACTGGTGGAATCAAATGGACAGCTTAGGCTTATCTTAGGAACTGGATATAATTTTATGGCTCATTACTGATTTAAACGGTGAATTTGTCGGGACCTAAGTCCAACGTACTCAATTGACAGAGCGTAAGTGTCATATGATTGAATTCTAAGCAATTGTTTAGCCGTTTAAAATGTAAACGAAACATTAAAGCTCTGGGGGTATAATTTCACTATCAAGTTACAGGAAGGAAGCTAACACGATGGAGAAAATTTTGAAAAATTTAAATAAGTCGATTACGACATGATCTCAAATTGTTAAAATACACACATTATTGCGGTATTAGATAGCTGAAATATTTGAGGAACTGGGTGCAGATGGGGCATTCCTTGGTTGCGATGCCTCAGAATCTTCGCTAACGTTTCATCTATAATTAAAGCAAATTTACGGAATTTGGTGAAACTTTTACTGAATTTCCTTAATGATTTTACGATGCAGAAAACGAAAAAATTCTGAAAATTAACCCAATAGTTCCCTGTTTAACATAAAAATTAGCAGAGGAGATTCTAAAGCAATGCATACAAGAAATTCCGTTTCTGCACTCAACGCTTCCTTTGCTTTTCACCTTTTTTTTTCATGGAGTATCCCTTTTCAGTGATTTTCCCCCAGGAAAGTTTGAACTTTGACGAGATTTACGAAAGTAAACAAAGGTGCAACCAATTGGATTAAAGAAATATTAGTCCATTATACCATCACTACAATTCGCCTAATTATTATTAGCGGAGGAACACAGATACAAACCGTCACTAAAAAGTTATAAGCTCCAGCGCTTCCTGACATCGACAACGACGGTTACAAAGCTCACACATTAGTGAATCACGCCTCAAGAATTCTCAGCGCAAACATCGACTGATAAGAGAAAAATGACTAACCTGATACTGATTCAGGAGAGAGTAAGCCGCATAGCTGCGGACAAACCCACTGCTCGAAACCACAGAGTATCCACAAAGTTAAGCTTTTTTCCAAAAACCACAAAAACACACAAAAAACTACAAAACCGCAACAAAAACCGACACAAACAACCGAAAACGCTAGGACTATCGGTTTTGAAACCGAAAGCGCACACCGAGGAAAATAAACCAGGAAAAAATGTACAAAGTTTGGTGATATTATTCGAAAAAAAAAACACACACACAGAATTTTTTTTCTAAAAGGGCGAAATGTTTCGATCGTATTTCGTTCGAGCGAGAGGCGAGAGCGAGAATCACGCTAAGGTAGGTCCGTTGGGCGACGCGTGGAGCGACGATTTGAAGACTGCGCGGGCATTCGCTGCTCGGCGACGGCGGCGCATGCGCAGAGAGACCCCCTCGGTGCATCCTCGCGGCCGGCGCGGCGCGGCGCGGCGCAGCGAGCGGATAGCGCACCCTTCTTCTTTGCGTGCATCGCGGCGCCGCCCCTTCTGCGTGAGCGGGAGCCCGTTCATTCATAAAAACGGCTCCGAAACGTTGAGTCTTCCTTGCCCTGGGGGTGCCGCAAATTAGGGGTGCTGGATCCTGACGATGCGTTATTCCTGGTCGTCGGATCTTCGGTGAGTTGTTTTAGGTTGAATCGTCTCGGGTTCTTGGCTGGGCTGGGTTCACGGAGAAAAAAAATTTCGTGCGTGGGACCCGAAGTTTAGGTCATATGGATCTCTGAAGTTTTCGGATTGAGCATCTGAACACTTTAGGCCCAGCTGCTGAGGTTTGGATCACACATCTGAAACTTCAGCTCTTACATCTGAAGTACTTCGGTTTTCACATCCGAAAAACTTCGATTCTCACATCTGAAGTACTTCAGATGTAAGAACTGAAGTACTTCAGATGTAAGAACTGAAGTTTCAGATGTGTGATCCAAACCTCGACAACTAGACCTAAAGTGTTCAGATGCTCAAACCGAAAACTTCAGAGATCCATATAACCCAAACTTCGGGTCCCACGCACGAGGTTTCTTTCTCCGTGTTGAACTGGCATGTGATGTATCGCATGTGCTTGTGATAAATCTATGTGGATTTTGATTGTAAGCGTAGAAAAGGACGATGACCTCTACAAAACTACAAAATTTGCCGTTTTCCAGGTGAAGGAACGTAACTGCATTAAATTGACTCATAAAATTCATCAGGGTGTCTAGTTTTTTTCCATTTTCAAAAATCCTCATGAAATCTTGATTTTTCCTGACTTTTGACTGCAAAATCCTGATTTTAAAATTTTTCCAAGTCCTGATCAAATCCTTATTTTTTGCGGAGCAAAATTAAAATTTCTGCGAAAGCACGTCCGACGATCAACAGTTAATCCAAATTAACTTCTGCTCTTGTTGCATATCCGAAAAATTGAAAGCGATCCTGATTACAAAATATAAATGCCACCATTTTCACATGCATGAGGTACCTATTACCACCACCGATATAGAAACTATAGAAAACCCTTACCTTGGTTTGAGACGATGCAGATTTCTGGTTGTATTGTACTGTCCCGAGAGACGGTTGATCAATAATCATCGAGGATGCACGATATTCAGTGTAATTCTTCTTCATACTTGTAGGAATTTTCTCTGAAATATCAAGAAAAACGTTCGATAGTATTCTCTTGAGAAATAGAATGAAAGCGACAATTTTTTAACAACATCGAGCTACGTGTTAATCTCATAGTGCGCGTTATACTTTCAATTTGAAAAAGAACGAAAGGCTACGATTCACAGTGAATCATTCTTGTTTTTCATTTTCTTAATAGAAAAACGAGGCAACAAAAGGCTTTTGAAATTTTTTTACGTTACCCCTACAAATACGGGAACATATCTGGAAAATTACACGGCATAATTATTTTTACGTTTCTTGTAAAGATAAATAAATAAAAGACGCAAGGAATGTAGGCAAGGGAGGCGGTCTGTTAAATGCCTTCCACTTCTTCTGAATTCTTTTTCATGGGCGCGCAACGCAGTCAGCGGCATAGCACCCGTCACCACTGAGCAAGAGAAAGAAAAAACGCCTTCATATCTGAGCGTATGCAACGAGGACAACCACGAAGCACGAATAGTTGCATCCATCCAGGATTCCAGGGGTTGTAATGAGAGCTCTTGCTTGCGAGAAAGCGAGAAACATGCGAGGTCAGGGCCGGATTAAGGGGGTGGCCACACGGGCCGCGAACCATGGCGGCAAAATGAAGGGGGCGGCAAATTTTGCAATCTTTTTGAATGCAAGTACCAAAAAAAGAGAGAGAAAAATCGGATTCAGAAAATAAATTACAAACGAGAAAAGGCGACGAACTCTCTCATTTTCTGAGAGTATAAGCATAGTAATTTCTAATTTTGTCGTCTTTCGGTGTTATAAGAGACAACACCTTTAATTAGTAGAGTTAAGAGAGAAACCAAACACGCAATTTGACCTGGAACGGAGCGGCGCGGCGGTCGGCATGAAACGCATAGCGCCTACAAGACTGCATGAATACTTCACGCATTGCGCCAACACAGTGCGGTCGGCGCGGCGGTGGAAGTTAACATTTTTAAAATTTTGTTTGTGTTTTTTTTGTTTAAAATTTGCTTTAA